GCGCCCCCGGAGTGCGGCGACTGCGGACCCGCTCGAGGGGTCCGGCCTGAGGGGGAGCCGGCGCCCGGGCTGCAGCGCGGCGTCAGGGTGGACTTTCCCCGGCGCGGCCTGAAGCCTCCTCCCCGGGCGGGCTTCGCACCTGTCGTCGCCGTCGGGGTGACCCCCAGTCTGTGAGATGCGCAGTATTCCGCAGGCGTGGTTCCTGCGCTGAATTTCTGTGGCTCGCGCAGCGTCGAATTGTTTGGCAGAAACGCGCGCCAATTCGGTTATCTTCAAAATCTGCCCAAAGGAACCGGCGTAGAAGTTTTTCGAGAAAACTTTTCCTTCCCGAGGAGGCACCTAGGCGTGGGCTCGTGATTGCTTTGAATTTGGCTTCCTTAGGTAGCAGTCGGGCGAGTAAGGTTCCAGAATGGGCAACTTCCTGAGAAGTAAGGTTTAAGGGACACGAAAAGGCACCTCTGTCCAAAATTACTGTAGTTTGAAATTGCCAATTACAGATAATGAAGTCGATTCCGAAATGAAACGAAGAGACTGAGGGAGAAAAATCTGGAGAAAAGGAAAGTCAAGACTAGAAGGTACAAGAAGATGAATCTATTAATATCTGTTGAGCTTTTATTTTGCGCTCGGCTCTTAGCCAGTTCTACCTCCGCTACCCCTTGGAGAATACTGAAAATGAAAAGACACCCTCCTCCTAAGGAGAGCTCGAAGAAGCAGCAAGACAAACGTGCAAAGTTAATAACATGTCAGTTGAGTACGATATCTTGCAATATATAAGGCAAGCTTTAAAAGTGTTCATATCTTTTAATCAGCAATTCCATTTTAGAGAATATCTTGCAATGGTATCACCTGGGAAAAAAAAAATGAGAGCACAAAGGTATTCATAGCATGTTATCCAAACAACAAAAATTTGAAGGGGAAAAAAAATGTCCAACCAAAGGGAAATGACTAATTAACATTTGGCATATCAACCTTAAGAATTCTTGTGTAGATAACAAAATGGCAAGAGTCTAATCAATTCATATTTGAAAAAATACCAGATATGTATATGAAGATTCAACTGCGTAAAATGTAGTTATGTACATAAAGATTTAAAGATAAGGAATGAATTTGGATAGTTTAATACTCCTTTCATTCTTTTTTTTTTTTAAAGATTTTATTTATTTTATTTTTTGCCCCCAAAGCCCCAGTAGATAGTTGTATGTCACTGCTGCACACCCTTCTAGTTGCTGTATGTGGGACTCGGCCCCAGGATGGACAGAGAAGTGGTGCCTCGATGCGCACCCGGGATCCGAACCCCGGGCCGCCAGCATCGCAGCGCGCGCACTTAACCACCAAGCCACAGGGCCGGCCCTCATTCTTTTTTCTGTGTAGTTAAGTGCATATTCTTTCTGATTCAGTTCTGTGCCCAGTGCATTCCTCCCACTCAAAACACAAACTGCTGTCTTGTAATCTTTCCCACCACCTTAATTTCTAAAATGCGCTAAGTGCAGTACAGTGAGAGCATCTCTTAAGAGGAAGTATTTCTTCCAGTTAAGCACTTCTGGCATGCAATATAGTTTTTCCTGTGGTTCCTAGAAAGGAAAATGTAACAAAGCCCAAAATCCTTGCTCTTATTTTAATGTTATAAAACACTCTTGAAGATCGTTTGGCAAATTCTATCAAGAGTCAGCCACCTCTGATCTAGTACTTTTACTTTTTAGAAATACAAAGACTTTTTACCTGAAACTCAGGCGACTTACAAGGCTGTTCATCTCAATGTTATTTGGAATAGTGAAAACTAGAGACGACCTAACTGTTCAGCACTATGGGAATGGTTAAGTACATCTGGTGTATTCGTGGGACAGAATAATATCTCATCAAAAATCTTATTTTCAAAAAATATTAAGGGAAGGAATATAGGTCAAGCCAACTGTCTACCATTTCCATTCCTCTAAGAGTTTCCTTCTTAAATTATCTTACTGGTACTACATGAGCGCTTCTCCCTCTTTGCAACAATTCATTGTACTGGGATGGACTCTAGGCCAACGGCAGTCAATCTGTAGGAAGCTTGTTAAAGCTCTACCCAAACACTGTGCAAGGGGAAAGAGGGGTTGAGATGGATTGAGTAATGGTTTAAAGGCACACTGAGTAGGCAGTGGACACCAGGCAGCAAGAGCCACGAGGGAGCAGAAGCCATGAATAATCAGAAAGAGGATGTAAGGAGTAGCAGCTCAGTTAAAGAGAAGTAGCAGTAGCAGGGGTCTTGAGATTCTGAGTAGAACTGTTTGGATTTCAGGAGCCTCTAAAATAACTGTATAAAAGGAAAAACTAAAAACAGGATGCAATAATGTATATACTGTGCTTTAAAATATGTATGTATAAATCATTCACATTGAACAACACTTGAAAGGAATACATCAACATTTTAATAATGGTGGTGAGATTACAAGTGATTTCTATTTTCTAAATTTTCTATAGTGATCATAGTTTTTACAAACTGTTTTAGAGTCAAATAGAATGAAGATCATCAATAGTCGAAAGTTCTAATCAGCAAAATAAGTTGCATTTGGTCAAAGTGACTAGTAGAAGTTCAGAGACAGGAGAATTTCCTGAGATCATAAATGGCTTCAAGGAAAAGGTGGCACTCAGGCTGGGTCTTTTAGGGACTGAGAAGATTTGCATTAATGAAGAGGAGGTGAAATGGGAAGAAGACAAAGCAAGGATAAGCTGAGTAAGGCATAGGTAGAGGGTACTGAATAGGGTGTCCTTAACAAAGTGTCTTGAACACGAAGATGTAAGCTAGGAGCAGTGCTGGGTGGGCAGGGGGGAGCTGGAGATAAGAAATTACCTGGGGGGCCGGCCCTGTGGCTTGGTGGTTAAGTGCGCGCACTGCAATGCTGGCGGCCCGGGTTCGGATCCCGGGTGTGCATCGAGGCACCACTTCTCCGTCCATCCTGAGGCCAAGTCCCACATACAGCAACTAGAAGGATGTGCAGC